ACCTTATGTGGCCTCATTATCCCCTACACTTGCCTCCCATGCCTGCTGGCTGGGTTCTAACGAGCTGAACTTTTCTTTCAGCTTTTGTTTTGTGGGGATGTTCTGGGGCGGGGGAGGGAGGGTATTCTGGGTGGGATCTCTGTCCAGTTCCTAGCAAAGTTGTTTTTCTTGTCATCACATTAGTGCAGTGATTCTCAGTTGGGGTGCTGCAGCACTCCAAGGCACTGGAAGACCCTTCCAAGGGTGTTGCAGTACCTGCCCCCTATGCTAGGAGGAAAGCAATTACTCCTCCTTCTGCCTGGTGCCAGGCCCTCCAGCATACTGCAAACGAGCAGTACCTGCAGCTGCTCTTCACTCCCCAGCAGGTCCTGTCCAAACCCTGTGCTCCCAGACATGTGCTCTACTGGGCTGCACTTTTCAACCCAGCTCATGACCATAGCCAACAGTGGAGCTAGGGACAGGCATTACACATAAACCAGTTTAAGTGATCAGAAACTGGTTTAAACTTGTAACACAACAGATGTTCAGTGAACATAAACCAGTTTGAGAATGGCTGAAACTGGTTTGAGATAAATCTGGTTGAATGTAGTATCAGAATTAACTGATTTGGCTCAGACTAGTTTATGCAATGTCTGCTCCAGACCCCTTGCTGCTTTAAGATAAACCCAGACACCCCCCAGCATCCCAGCATGCTCTCTGGGCTGGGTGGGGCTCTCTGTTCCACAGCAGGGCTGGCCCCTCCCCTCTGCTCCCTGGCTGCACCTCCAGAGACTGCAGGCTGCTTCCCCCCTCCCCTCACCCCTCTGTGCTAAGCAGGAATTCCCCCTTCCCCTCTGCCCTGCTGAGAAGGTGTCTGTGTATTAGCTAGGAGACCACATGTTGGCTACAGTGGGTGCTGAGCCAACAGATAGAATCAACAGGCAGAATCAATAAGGAGCTGGTAAAGTCCCTCTGTTGTTTTCTTAATTGGGTGATAAACACTGTTATCAATTCCCTGCTGGGATAATCAGAGCTCCTGCCATCCCCACAACTCCATGCTGTGGAAGGACGGGAGGGCTGCTTTAGGTCCCCCCCCCCCCCCGGCTTCTAGCCTGAGCTACTGAAGGCATGTGCCTGTATTTCTGGGATGTCTGTCCAGTTACAAAACTGATTTCACCTAGCCGGGTTAGACTAACTTGCAAAGATTGAATCAATTCAGGTTCAGGCTTTTTGAATGTCTGTCCCTAGCCTAGAAGCCACAGGTCCACATGGCTCTACTTGCTGGCATGCAAGCCTCTGGAGGAGCAGCCTAGGTAGTGGAGATTGTGCTTGGTGCCAAGGGCAGGGAGGGGGCAAGATGTGGAAAAAGCAGGGTTGGGGGAGGCTCCTGCCCCTGCTATCCTCACCTGGCACCAGCTAGATTTGAACTTAGCAAACTTGTGAAGGGGTGCCATGGGGCTAAAAAGGTTGAGAACCACTGTACTAATGGGCTGGTTGATATAACAAACATCAGTGCTCTTATAAAACAGGCCTCCTATAAGCAGTGCCCAAAGAATGAGCCATACAAGCCCTGCCTAACCACTTAGTAACCACTTTAGAGTCTAGGAAAGGGGAACCTTCTGGTCTGTGGTCAGCATGCTACTTTCCAGGCCTGGCTGCTCCCTTCTGTCCCAGTAGGCATGAACATTAGTGGTACAAAGGCTGTCCATTCTTCTCTGAGGCTTTAGTGGAAAATCTGAGGCTACAAAGCATTACAAAGAGGGAAGTGAATCACCAGCTCAGTCTCTGGGTCCCTGAGCTGGGAAGGCACCTGGCCAAAGGGACAGGCAGATGGACAGGGCAGATACTGAGGGTGTTGTTTGGTACTGAAAAGCATAAGAGAATCTGTCTGTGGTTCTGGCAGATTGTCAGGAGGTGAGCATGACTTATCTCCTGTCCTGGCTCAGGCTTTTCTTTAAGAGCTGCTTGCACAGATTATGGACTGAGGATATGAGACTAGAATAACCAGCAGTAAGTGGTTTGCGTCTGGAGGGGTCTTAATTCCATGGCCAGACTCTGTAGGGGTATCATCCAGGGGTACCAACACATAGCTGTGTTGGTACTGTGGGACTAGACCATGGAAACGAGACAAGGAGGCTGAACAAAAGAGAATGGTTCAGTAGCAGTGCAGGCCCCTGCAAGCTGTTGACACCCTCTTACGCTCACATTGTCAACTGGGTCTGCTTAGACTGAAGCTCTGAGTTAAAGGCTTTCTCTTGAGAGACAGCTCCCTCTTCGAAGCTGTCTTGGAAGAGACATTATCTTTTTGTTTGCTTATTTTGGTTCTCTTGATTTATGTACAGGCTCTGGCTCATCTGGGATGTTTGGAAAAGGTCATAGCATCCCTTAACATACAGGCCTATTTGGTGACCACAGCTGTGAGCCTAGCCCACTATGTAACTCGTGGCTGCCACCTGTGGGCAGCAGTGGAACTGAGGTCACCAACTAAATGCTTGGGACAACGAATGAGAAAACAGGGCATGCTTGTGGGGTCACAGGGACAAAACAAGAGAACCCTGGGTGGGCCACTGAGAAGAGCACCCCTGTCAGTGCCCACCGGCTCTCAAAAGCAGCCAGAGAGCTGGCAGCTACTGCCCAGTGGTACTCTGCCTGGATGTGTGAATGGAGGCGACCCAGGAAAAAGGCCTCATAGTCCCTGGGAAAGATGAGCCAGGTCAGAATCAAACCTACTATCTTCTGATTCATAGCCAGACACATTATCCATTGCACCACAGGCCCTTGCTTGTCCCTTAACATACAGGAGAGATGCATAAGTTTTAAGTGAAGGAGTGATTCTCCAGCTGGTCAAATACCCATTCACATACTTTGCCAATGCTTAGTATCTGCTTTCTGCTATCCCCACTATCCAGTGTCCACTCTCCCCACATGGGGCCTTATGACAAATTTACTTGCTCTGCTTGATTAGCCTTTGACTAGGGAGATGGTAAGCCAGTACACTACAGCTGCATTTGTGTGGCTTTACTTGACCTTACTGTGGGCAAACAGCACTGCCTTCCAGCCCACCACATTCAGCAACTAGATGAAAAGCTCTGGATTGATGTTAGATTTAGGAAAGACTAATATTGGAGAGGAAAGGAAAGGCTATGAAGAATTCTCCACCTCTAAAGCATCCCCTGATTGAGGGCCTCTGTCTTCAAATCCTTAAGAGAGTCCCAAGATTTGGTATCTACTTTGTGCAGAGGGCAAAGATCTCTTGGGGTCTAGTCCAAGACTGGAATGAGCTCTCCCAGGAGCAAAGTCCTCACCACTTTCTGTCTCAAAGGCAAGGTGCACACCCCTGACCTGCTTTCTTTAAAATAAACACAGAGCAGCATGTGCATGAGCCAAAAACTAATAATGAAACCTTAGCAAAATAAAGCCCTCTTGCACAGACAAATCTCCTCCTGGGGAGAGAATGAAAGAAAAAACAAACCACATGACAGATGTGTAGTCACGTCATTGAATGCACCACAGGAAGGTGCTCAGATCCTACAAAAATGAGTGTGGTAGTATAAGAGCCTTCGTAGAACAGAAGGCTTAAGGGACCAGCACCCCCTGTGTTTTACGGCCTCCGGTGTTGGCCAGGCTCCGCGGACACAATGGAACCGACACCCTTAGGATCGAAACTTTCATATGTTGGAGGCAGAGCTTTTTTTTCAGATGCTGCCCTTTGAATCTGCATCTCTGTCCTGGGAGGGATCAGGATGAGCACAAACACCCATGTCTTCAGCACAGAATGTTCATCCCCCATTGACTCAGCCTTCCCACAATAGCAATGAAACGATTAGCCAGGCACTCAGGTGCCACAGAGCAACACAGACAAAAGAATGGTGTCCCAAGAGGCTGTGGGCTGTTCTGTCGCACATGCTGTGCCTGAATGAAGAGTGCTGTCAACAGTCCAGACAGATGAAGAGCAGGGAAACCAGCTGCTTGGCAGCCAGTCTCTTGCAATAAAGGAAGAGACCACTGCCTCAGCATAGAGGCTCCAAGCTGCAGAGAGTTGTGGTGGCCACGTGTCTGGCTGGAACTGTGCAAATGAGTAACACCAGTGCCGAGGGATTCTGAAAGATTGCATGAGTTTAAATCCCCGAGGCTTTAACTGTCTCCCCACATAGTCCCAGAGGGTGTGACAGCCTCTTAAGCCTAAGAGCCTTTCCCTAGAACAGGTGCAGGCCTGCAGAGTGATAGCACAAGCTCCCCATTCCCCTGCGGAGCCCTACTCTGATCCTGAGTGGCCCCATGTAACAACTGGAGGGGACTTGGCTATTTTCAGCTTTTACTTTGACTGCTAGGATAGCCACTAAGGGGGAAGCTGCTTGTGTTTTTTGCAGTATGGATGACTAGGAACTGGATGAAAGCTTCAAACTCTTCTTGTGGACACCAGATGATTTTTAGCCACTGCTGACATGGGCTGCATTTAAACAAGTAGACTTAAGGTGAAAGGCACTGTTCCCTGCCCTCTTTGAGCCAGCCAGTTGCCCTGACTTGGGGCTAGATTGCAGCTGAAGCTCTTGAGGTGAAGAGCTCTGTTTCCCATTTCCTGACCTTGTGCCAGGCACTTGGCATGACCTGGAGATGGATTAGAACAAGCAAATTGGATCTGGAGATGGAAAGGCACTCCCTGCCATTTCTTTCTGTGGGCCTCAGTTTGTAAACTTAATTTACAAACTCCAGAATCCCTCTGCCCGCAATAGAACCACATAAACAAGTTAATTCAAAGCAGACTTATGGCCGTTTTCCATGTACCTCTATGTAGACATTTTTGTTCTACCTCTGTTTTTGTTCACAAGGTGAGTCCTGCCTCCATACAATGGAGAATATTGCATCATAGTTTATTCCTAATTGCAATGTTAATTACTCTTTAAAAAACCCATTCAGATTTTTTTTTCCCTAC